GTTTGGAGGTGACGGCACACGCGACCCGCAGAGCATGATGTTAGACTCATGTTGCTAACCCGTCCGGCACAGCAACCCCAGCTTGGGGACAGGACATGACTGGTGCAGGCAATGGAGCTGCCGCCCCAGACAGCTGCGTGTAGGCCGCAGGCACAGGTAAGTACATAGAATTTTATTGTACAGATGCTACTCATGGCCTGTAAGTACCTGTCGGCACTCCACCGAAAAGGTGTGTGCGTGTGTGTGTGTGTGTGCACATCCTCTTTATAACCTCTCAAATGATGGAACAGCCGTAAGGCATGTTCTTTCGCAGTCAGGGCTCATGATGCCCCTTCTGCTGCAAGCAGTTAGGGCCACAAGTCTTAAGTCTTGACCTTCGCGAAAGATGCAGATTTTGGGCCGTTTAAAGGCCGAACATCAGGCTGCACCCGTGGGAGACAGCTCTGGCACTTGACCAGAGTCTGCTCCTCCCAGGCGCAAGCAGGTTTCAAGTTGCCGAACTTGCGGCGTGTGCTGGATGGCGCCCGCTTCGAGACACGAAGAGGGAAAAAATGCCGATCACATCCTGGCTTGATCGCTGCAAACCCTTTATGCGCACAGAGTACAACATAATATATATTGTAACAGAACAGAGTCCAGCGTATTAAATTGTGATAATTGCATATCATGCAATAGCAATACAGCAGGCGTAATGCTACTATAGTTCACGACACTCCACTACACTACACTACACTACACTCGCTACACTACGCTACGCTACGCTACACTACACTACACCACTCTACACTCCACTACACCACACTCCACTACACTGCACCACACTATTCTACACTACGCTACATATGTTTTACCACGTCTAGATTTATAGTTGCATAGACATTTGTTGTTTCATCATATTTGTTCGATCTGATTTCATATTATCTTGTGTTACCCGTTCTCTTCTTTGTCTTGTCTTGTCTCATCTTAAATCGAAATAGACTACGCTGTACTATGTTATATATTAGATCATGTTCTATGATGCTCTGACATGTTTTATATCATGTCACCTGCCGCAAGCTTTCGCCCAGTCCTGGCCAAGTTCTTCAGCAGTCTTGATGCTTTCTGGTTTCAACAGACCTCAGAAGGGGCTGAAAGGTTAGCGTGGCCTCTAGTTCCAAGCCAAGCGAAAGCTGTACACAAACACCCAAGAGGTGCAAGAGGGTAAGCGGCACAATCACCATGAGACGCACAGATCGGGTGCAAGCTCTTGCGAAATCAGAAGTTATGCAACAAAAAGGTGGCACGTCTTGAGGTGATGTGAGTTTTGGGCGACATGCTGCATTGAAAGCTCGGACAGGTAAGAAAAAGCAGCGCCTGCCGCTGAGGCATTTGTGGTCCGAAATAGGGAGGTTGTAAGAGCTTGTTCGCTTGGCAGAAGCGGCGCCGGTGATGGCTTTGTTCCCTCGCTCTTGCATGATGCTCTC